GTGGCAGATTCTTTCACTTAAACGCGTTTGGCTGAGCGCGTAATTCAGTTTAAAGGTGCTTTCCAGAATGACCCGGCGTATGCTGACAGATGTGAGCCTTTTGTGTTCGTGAATACATGCACGGCCGATTAGCGTGAGCGCGGCTGCGATGTTTTATGGCATGACTAGCAGCCGGTAATGAAATCTGAGTAATTGCATGTATTTATTACTCATCGATGGCAGTTTACATTCACTTGTTAAAAAATGTTGCTGGTAACTGAATGATTTTCACGGGCTGCATCGCCGTCTCTTCATTCCTGCCAGCATCCCTCAATCTGGCTCCCTCTCTTTTCTCTTTCATTCTCTCTCGATCTCCCTCTCTCCTGCCTCACTCTCTCTCTCCTTTCTGTCTCTCTCTCTCTCCTCTCTCTGTTTCTCTCTCTCCTCTCTCTGTTTCCCTCTCTCCTCGCTATCTGCATCTTCCTCTCCTCCTTCCTCTTCCTCACCCTCCAACTCCTCCTCTTCATTCCACTCTTCCTCTCTCTCTTTCTCCCTCTCTCCATCTTTTCCAGTCTCCCTCTCCTCTTCCTCAGTCCCCCTCTCTCATGTCTCCCTCTTCTCCTTCTCTCCATCTTCCTCTCTGTCCCTCTCCTTTCTCCATCTCCCCCTCTCCTCCCTCCTGTTCCTCAGCCATCTCTCTCCATCTTCCTCTCATCTTCGCTCTTCATCTTCCTCTCTCCCTTGTCTTCCTCTCCTCTCTCCTCTTCCTCAGCCCCCTCTCATTTCTCTTGCCTTCTGCTGCTGATAGGAAGCATGAGTCACACTCAGGCCTCTCTCTCCCTCTCTCTCTCTCTCTCTCCCTCTCTCTCTCCCTCTCTCTCTCGCTCCCTCTCTCTCCCTCTCTCTCTCTCTGACAGAGGCATCTTCTCCAGCCTTTAAATGAAATCTCTATTTGTCAGTGCAGAGATGCCGTGAGAGAGAAAGAGACAGATAGAGGAAGGGACGGAGGGAGCTGAGGGGAGGGGGGTCAGAGGTCGTCTCCTGTGCCAGGTGGCGGGGTGGCACTCTGAGAAGGTGGCTGGCGGTCTTAGCGCCGGCGTGAGTCCACGTCCCGTGATGTAATCTCGTGTGGGCACACGCGTGTGTCAGTGTGCAAGAGCCCCACGTTGTTATGGCGATGCGCTGAGCGCAGCGTGGACTGGGATTGGCAGTAACAGTAGCTAAGGAATGCTGTAGCCTGGAATGGCTGATAGCATCTGTGTCCTAGTGCAGAATCACTGCATGGTATGAGGCAGTGACATGGAACTGCGCCGATATCTGTATATAAGTGAAATGGAACTTGTAATGAATTTCTAATAACAACACAATCTGATTTTTCTAGCGACACAGTAATGAATGCACTTTTAATATTCCTAATAGAATGTATAAAGTCGTGTCTGGCTTCTGGGAAGGTAACCTTTCCACTAAGTCCCTCTGTTGCCCTTTAAATTTTAATGGCCAAAAAAAAAGTGAAACACCTTTAAAGTGTAAAAACATTGTCAAAATGGTAGGTTTCCATTTCATAGCAATTACCCAGAATCCCACTGCAGGATGCCTTGTGCTCCTTGTGTGTGCGATGAAGAGGTCAGGGGCAGTGGATATGGAAGAGCAATGTACAACAGGGCAATTTATGTAGAAGGGGGTCATCTGTGGGGCCCCCGCCTTCTTCTCGTCTGAGTACTTGTCAGTCTTAGTTAAATCTCTGTTTTTGTTCTGGGTAGTGGGTCGCAGTCTCTCAGAACATCTTCCTCAAACCCGGTTAAAAGCACACAGAACTTCTTTCCATCTGTGTCTACACTGACTGGACAGAACGTGAGCTGTAGGACGTCAGCTTGGCCCCGGGCTTTCCGGAACATTCCGTTTGGCGTGAGCTAAATTAAGGTGGAGGGAAGCATGTGTAAATATTGACTACTCCATAATTAAGCTGGGAAGATGTGGGCACAAATATTGACCCGGTTCGGAACGGCGACCCAGAGAATCCCCAAAAGTCGTCTCGGGCCAGCCCGTGTGGGTCTGCACCGCAGGTCACAGGCGTACGACGTTTTTCGGGCCCTGAAAGGGATTCATTCATAAATAAGCAGGCGATGCGGGTCCTGATGAATCTGCATGACCTTTAAGTGTAGCCTATGTCGTATCTTTAACTGCGTCGAAGTTCAGTTACAGTGAGATAAGCTCAGAGCGGGAGGAGAAGGGGAGAGAGGACCGTTTATGGAGGGCTGTTAGGAAGGAGGAAAAGGGGAAAATGGGGGAGAGCTGGGAGATACCAAAACGATTGATGGGGGGGGGGGGCAAAGAGGAAGTGAGAGAGGAGGACCGAGAGGAAATGGGCAAGGCACGGAGCGCTGATTGCAGGGATGGAGACGCTGTCATTAGCGCCCCAGACGGTGGCAGATAACAGCCTTCGCCAGTCAAGTGCGGATCACGGCAAACTTACAGCTGCGTCGTCGGGTGGCAAAAATAGGAAACCGTCCCTTTAATTGGCAGTCGGAGTAATCCTGCCACGATCGCACCCAGAAGCCTCCTATTGCACTCACGTCTTATCGCTCATTAACGTAAAAACATTTACAAATTGTCTTTGCTATTGGAGCCAGACACATGACATTATTTTGTAAATTCTTTTAAAATCTGACTTAAGCAACAGATTATGTCGATTTAGGTTACTAGCCACATTTCTGAGGAAACGGGGAAATAAAAATAGAAAAGGGAACTGGACTTGAGAAATTGATCCTGATGGCTGTGTATGTGCATGCATGCACGTGAACGTGCCGAGGGTTGTATGCGCAGACGTGCATGCATGTGTAGGGGTGTTGGCCGTGCTGCGCAGATACCTCAGCTGTCCATTGAGTGTGTGGGGTGGTGAGGGTGTGCATGTGTGTGTGTGGTGTGTCTGTCTGTGCATGCTGCAGATGGAAGTCAGAGGGCCAGAGCTGGGAGTCGCCCTGGGGGCTGCAGTGGTCTGCGCAGGTGAGTGTCGTAGGTCTGCGATTGGTGGGTGGGGATCTGAAGCTGGTGCTGACCGCGGGGAAGGAGGGTCTCTCCTGGGGGGAAGCCGCAGGGCAAGATGGCGGCGTCTGAAGTGCTGAGCACGCTGCTTTCCACCCATGGCTGTACATGCAGTCGCAAACACAGGCATTCGCAAACATGCGCAGTCGTAAATGCGCGGCCGCAGTGAAGCGCAGTTACAAACACGGGCAATGGCAAACATGCGTGAACAAGTGCAGCCGCAAATATGCGCAGTCGCAAACAAATGCAATCACAAACATATGCAGTCGGAAGCTTGCGTAGTCCCAAACGCCCAGTCACTGCTGCTTAAACTTTAACACCCACACGCAATCGCGCACACATAGAATCCCAGATACACACGCGAGTATGCTCACACCTGATCTGCGATCGGTCTAGTCACACAGGACCGTTCAGTGAGTCTCGCTGCATCCTTTGATGCTAGAAGACAGGAGACACATTTGTGTGGTTTGTATGAGTCCAGCAAGCTATGTGAGTGGTGTATCTGGCGGTGAGTGGGTGGTTAAATGTTGAGTAGGTGGTGTAAAGGTGGAGTAGATGAGTAGTGGTGAGGCAAGGTGTAAGCAATTTCTATAGAAGTGTTGAATAGGTGGTGCAGAGGTGGAGCAGGGGATAAGTGCTGAGTAGGTGGTGTGAAGGTATAGTAAGTGTTGAGTATGTTTTGTAATTCTGTTTATTTGGCTGTACATTACCAGGGAGACTTATGCTTACAGGCTCCCAAGATCTGATTGGCTGTGTTTCTTTGTGCCACTGCTGATTGGCTATGTACACATGTGCCTGCACCTGATTGGCTGAGAGTGTGCAGGGTTGCACACCATCCCTGTTGCACTCCATACCTGGTGTAATATTTTGTGCCTCACATATAAAAACCATGATTTGCTGTGGATTTGGGCATGACGGACGGTGCTGGGTTAGCAGTGGTTCTGGGCTGCGCCGGACGAAAGCTTCGAATGTTTCTCTATAAGTCGGCCTCATCCCGCCAAATCTGGCCACAGTCCGCCAGATGCAGGCTGTGATGAAGTAACGCGCGGGCTGAGGGCTGGCAGCCGACGTATATTAAGTCCCGTCTCCCAGGTGAGGAATGAGAGCGCTAAGAGTGTATGTTCGAGAGGACGGGGGCTTCAAGGGCGCAGACGGGCGTCAGGCATCAGCGTTCGTGGCACTAGGGCACAGACTTTTTTCCACCTCAGATGCATAATAATTCTCTTACATAAACACATCTTACAGGTAGTGAGAGCTGCTTAAGATGTCCTTGAGAACGCAAGAGAATATTAGATCGGACCTCCGTGCGGATTAATAATTAATTAACTCCTGTCCCGGTAATCTTAATTACGAAACTAGGAAGCAGCTGAGGCTTCTGACAGCGTAAATATTTTTCTAATAAATATGTAAAGTTTGTGCAGGTCTTTATGGGATTAATAAGGGCATTCTGATTTGTGGCGCCAGCAGCCTTGTCAAAATATTATGGTGAAATTATTAAATTATTCTGCCCGACATAATTATGTACATGTATATATACTGTTTTTAATTTTTGATATCATACTATTCCATGGTAATCATACTTTCTAAGTTATTTGGTATAGAAGGTGGATGAATGAATGAATGAATGAATGAATGAATGAATGAATGAATTTTGCCCTGTGATGGCCTGGCATCCTATCTCATCCCAGCCTCATTCCCTGTACTTCTTGGAATACGCTGCAAACTCACCACGAACGGATACAGGATAAGGATTTATGCATGGGTAGATGTGTGGCTGTTTAAAGTTTTATTTATTACTCTGACAATTATTGGTTCATTAAGGTTCTAAGCTCCCAGATTGTAATTTAATAGCCATAACCCAAATGATTGCAAATTCCGTTGCGATTAACAGAAAGATCATTGAAGTTGTTCCCAGCTGTCATGATCGAGCAGCAATCTCTGGTTCTCACCATTTATCACGTGTCTCTATTTTTTTCCAGGCCTGTCCTGGTCTTGGTGACGCCAAGGGAGGAAAAGGAAATTCACCGACCACTTGCATCCATCACCTCAACGGTCACAATGACATGTCTAGGCCTTTTCTCCTTCATCCTTTCTTCTTGTTCTCCTCGCTTAAGTACCACCATCCTCTTTCTCGTCCTCTTGGGTCTCGCCAACTTCTCCGAGGCATCCTCGGACCAAGGGACTGGAGAGGCACCCGGTAACTGCTCGGGAGAATACACCTGTTCTGAGGGCGTTGTCCTGCCCATATGGAACCCCCAGAACCCCTCAGTGGGGGACAAGGTGGCCCGGGCCATTGTCTACTTCGTGGCGCTCATCTACATGTTCCTGGGCATGTCCATCATCGCGGACCGCTTCATGTCCTCCATTGAGGTCATCACCTCACAGGAGAAGGAGATCACCATTAAGAAACCCAATGGTGAGACCAGCACCGCTACCGTGCGCATCTGGAATGAGACCGTCTCTAACCTGACCCTAATGGCCCTGGGCTCCTCGGCTCCGGAGATCCTGCTCTCTGTCATCGAGGTGTGTGGCCACAAGTTCAAGGCTGGTGACATGGGCCCCAGCACCATCGTGGGCAGCGCCGCCTTCAATATGTTCATCATCATTGCCATCTGCATCTACGTGGTGCCCGATGGCGAGACTCGCAAGATCCGGCACCTGCGGGTCTTCTTCGTTACGGCCGCCTGGAGCATCTTTGCCTACATCTGGCTCTATCTCATCCTCTCAGTCTTCTCACCTGGGGTTGTGCAGGTGTGGGAGGCTGTGCTCACCTTCCTCTTCTTCCCGGTCTGCGTGGTGCAAGCCTGGGTGGCCGACCGACGTCTGCTCTTCTACAAATACGTCCATAAGCGTTACCGCGCCGACAAGAGCCGCGGTATCATCATCGAGACGGAGGGCGATGGAATCTTCACCAAGATGGACATGGAGATGGGGACCAATTCGCACCACAAGGAAGCTCTTGATGGCATGTTAGCTGGTATGGAGGAGAGTGGATTGGGCGGTGGAGCTGGGGGGCGGGACCAGGAGGAAGAGGCACGACGGGAGATGGCACGCACCCTCAAGGAACTCAAGCAGAAGCACCCAGAGAAGGACGTGGAGCAGCTGATCGAGATGGCCAACTATCAGGTGCTGGTGCAGCAGCAGAAGAGTCGCGCCTTCTACCGCATCCAGGCCACGCGCATGATGACGGGAGCCGGAAACATCCTGAAGAAACACGCTGCCGACCAGGCGCGCAAGGCCGTGGGCTGCCACGAGGCCAGTGCCCAGGAGGACGACCCCAACACCATCTTCCTGGAGTTCGAGCCGTCCCACTACCAGTGCTTTGAGAACTGTGGCTCTCTCAAGCTAGCTGTGGTGCGTCACGGGGGCGACATAGGCTGCACGGTCAAGGTGAGAAAACCTGGGGGAGGCGGGGGTGCTCGGGGGGCAGTGCTGGCTGTTAGGACACCGCGGGGGATAATTCAGTTTTCTCCGCATGAGGAACGGCAGCCTAGTTCCGTCACAGTTGCAGCGGTGCTTAGCAACGCAGGTAGAGGAGAGCGCAGTGCGATTTGGGCTGATGAGAGTCGGGTTATCACAGTGAGCACCAGAGTGTGGTGGCACAACATGAATTCAGCCCCCTCCCTCACGAATCCAACTGTCATTTGTTTGCATGCATTTATCAAGTTATCTGTCACTCCTGAGCCGTTACCTTCGCATTGTATAATCACGCCGCTGACGCCCGTGCCCCGGGGCATGACTTGCTGGTCATCTGTCGTGCCAAGATGTGTGTTGCCTCACAATGCACGATGACTGACGGAAGCTGGATAGGACGGAGCCAAGGAAATGTCCCGGAGATGGACACTGAACATGAACAGGAAGGGGGTCGTCCAAACTCACTAATCTTTCACACACCAGGGAACAGGGAATCGCATCTAACTCCAAATAAGACAATTTTATTCTATGTTGTTTTTTTCTTTCTCGTCTGCATTTGGGCCAAATTTACCACCTGCCTCTACTCACTTGCTAACCATCATGATGAATTACCGAGCTGCTATCCAATTTTACACATGCTAAGTCAGGTGCCGCACTTTGGCAAATCAGCTACTTTTCGTTCTATTCTGAGTTTGGGTTCCGCTGGGTGCCGTTCCTGCGTAGTGCCTTCCCAAAATAGTTGGTCCAAAGTGCTTAACAAAGACATAACATATGTACAGTATACAGTATACTTTAGTAAATCATTAACAGAGATTTAACAGTACTTATAATGGACCAGTATATATCTGAGTGGGGAATGACCCAGAATGGAGGTGAGGAAGCAGAATTTTAGAGATCAGTTCACCTTCCAGGCTAATTAGCTTAACCTGATGCTATCCCAAAAGGTGTTTCATTTTGGTGGCTGGATGTGTCGGCTCTTGAGGAGCAGGGTGGAGACGCTGATGTCACTGTCCTGACCTGGGCCCCGTATCATCACAGGTTGACTATCGCACAGAGGACGGGACGGCCAACGCCGGCTCGGACTACGAATTCGCTGAGGGTACACTGCTTTTCAAGCCTGGGGAGACGCTGAAGGAGCTAACCGTGGGCGTCATCGATGACGACATCTTTGAGGAAGACGAGTACTTCTACGTACACCTCAGCAACCCCTGCGTGGTCCATCAGGCAGAAAACGCCATCTTCGAGCCTGGACCCATCACCCTGGGCAACTGCCCAGCTCCGCCCCTGTCCTTGACCCCGGGAGTGGCAAAGGCAGCTCTGGGCGCCGCCCACACGGCCACGGTGACCATCTACGACGACGACCACGCAGGCATCTTCACGTTCGAGGGTGCGTCAACACGCGTCAGCGAGAGCGTGGGCACCATGCACGTGAAGGTCCAGCGGACGTCCGGGGCCAGGGGGAAAGTGGCCGTGCCATACCACACGGTGGAGGGCACCGCCAAGGCAGGCGAGGACTACGAAGAGACGGCGGGCAAGCTTGAGTTCCTCAACGACGAGACCATGTGAGTGGGTGGGCCAGCCTAATCATTAGCCAAACATATGTTTTGAATGGGTGAGTGACAAGGGAGGGTCATTCTGGGAGCCAATCACCTTTCAGTTTTGCCCACTACCTCTGTGGCCCCACACCTGTATACCCCACCGCGCTAACCAGAGAGCGCTAGCAGCTCATGGTCAATGAGCGTCGACCATGTCGGAGGAGCGAGTCGCTATTTTTGGCGCCGACCGAAGTGTGCCTTTAAAAGCTGGAACTCAAGTGCAAGTGCGACGTATTCTAAACATTATAAACAGCCACTGTTATTAGTACTAAAAGTGTCCACCGTTCAAAGATGTGGCAGCAAAGCAGGATGGGAACAGACAGACAGAGGTGTGCGAGTTTCAGAGAACTATTATAGGTAATTAACCCCTGCAATAAGTGAAGCGGTTATATATAGCTCCGTATTTACATATTGCATTTTTCTCACATCCGGTTTGATGGGGAAATGGCGGAGATTTTACTGTGTGGAGATTTTTTCGAGCAAAATTCTCTTTCTGGAAAATGCCAGAGGCTCTGTTTGATCGGTTGCCGCTTTCGTCTTCAACTGTAAACTTAGACAGTACACAGTAACCCTTCGACCAGCAGTTTACGCAAGGGTGTAGATCTGAGTATGGACTGTAGGGACACGTCTCTGCAAATATTGTGGGAGCACCGTGTGTTTTGGGGTGTTTAGCCTTGAGTACAGACAGTCTAAGAGTCTGCTGAGTAAAGCCATATATACAGCTGCTGGTTGCTTCAGAGCCACTACATGAGTTTATGCGTTATAGATACCTTTCTGCATACAGCTGGTGTACTAAGCTGTTATTTTTGATTGGAGGTCTTCCTGTTGCATTCCTGTTAGCGCCTCGCAATTCTTCTCTGACCTCTCTCATTAACCAAAGTGTTTCACCCACGGAACTGCCCCTGACGGGATACTTTATTTTCATTCTTCACACTCTCTGTAAACACTAGACACTGCAGTGTGTGAAAATCTCGGGACGGCGGCCGTTTCTGAGATGTTGGAACCAGCACATCTGGCATCGACAGTCACGCTACACTCACAACCTATTAGGTTAGCGGTCTTCACCATTCGGAAGCCCAGTCAGACAGTCAAACTTACCCTCCTGACCCTGTCTGCGCGTCTCATTCAGTTGCAGCCATGTGATTGGCTGTTTAAAGGAGCAGGCCATTTGTATTAATAAGCAGGTGTTCCTAGTAAACTTGAGTGTGTTTTATTTTCAGATGGTATACAGTAGCTTGGACTCTTCATCAATTCCCGTCGACAAAGTTCTCCTGCAGCACACTGACACAGTTTTTAACTAACATGCTATTTTTGTTAATGAGTGGTCATTAACGTGACATTAATCCATTGAAGTGTACGTGAAACGTCAGAGTGAGAGCCCATTGTGATTCCATTTACATGTGGATTTCAGCTATGGATTGGGACACTAAGCCTGTGATCAGAAGGTCATTGGGTCAAATCCCAGAGTCGGTGGAATCATTGGGCCCCTGAGCAAGGCCCTTAACCCCCAGGGACTGACTGACCCTGCTTTCAATTGTATGTCGCTGCTAAATAGATTGTGATTGAGCCCAAGCTGAAGATTTTCATGGAGATTAACAGCAAAATTTGGCCTTACAACAGGGCTATTCAACTCACGGTCCTCATTGGCCGAACCCTGCTGATTTTGGCCAATCTGGCCAATCAGAATCAGTGATGATTAAACTAACTCCCTGGGAGAACTGAAAACACGGTCTGGATTTGTAGTCAAGAGCCTTACATTACAGGATAAGTATTCCCTGCATAACAAAGGTGTTTTTCCAACTATGACTGGCCTGATCCGGATCCGGGTCCGGTCCCTGCCTTGGCTAAGTTTACCACCGGTATTTCTCACGCCAGGACACTCCCTCCTTTTCTACCTCCGTGACATTCCATAAATACACTGCCACGCTCCCCTGCTCCCGGGGTTTATGAAAGAGTGCAAGCGGCAAAGGTCCTACCGTCAATCTCACTGCGTCCCGGGAGTAAATCAGAGCGCAGCTTTAAAGGCTCCGTCTCCTGGCTGCTGGGATGTTAGCCCCCACTGCTCCGAAAACAGGGAGACCTTCTGGGAACGGTCCAGGAGGGGGAAGAACTGCAGGATTCTAGGAACTTGGGGGCGCAAATAAACAGCTCGGTCTGTTCCTCTTCCCCTTGACCAGTGGCAGATACATTGTTTCTGGGTCCCCACTCAAAAAAAAAAATCTATCTGGATGTCCACCCCCCAGTGTAGTTACTGTTTGTGGCCAACAGGGGGCCTCCTAATCTCAGGGACCCCACGCAAATAGACCGTTGGCTATTGGCTGTGCCCCTTGATGAAAACCTGCTTCCTGACAGAAACGTTATAAAGAAACGAAAGTCGTGTTTCCCGAAACTGATGTAACCAGGGTGACCTGAGATGTGACAGTGTTGTTGCTAATTCTCTGTGTAGGACAGGGTCTGGTGGGTGACGGGGATTAGCCACAGGGTGGACAGAAGGGGCCACTGGATTACAGCTGGATTACCGCCGGATTACTGCCAGTTAGGGATGGCAGGGGCGGCGTGACGCGAATGTGTCAGGCTATGTGGCCTCAAACACGGCCAGTGAGAGATGAGACAATAAGCGTGAGAGCAGAGATCAAAACATTATGGCTTCTTTGTCAAAAGAGAGCAGGGAGAAAAAAATAGCAAGTTATCAACAACAGATTCCAGTGAATCGAGACTCCAGTGACCGTCATGCTAATGGCAGTAATACAGTGTGTTACGTAAACAGCAAGAATCCATGCAAAGCATCTGCTTCTCTATGTCCTTTCTCTTCCGGATAACATCTCCTTTCTGTTTTCACACGTCCTCCTTCCTCCTTTCCCACCGCTTTCTCTTCCTCCTCCATCTGCCCTCGTTTTGTCTTCCCTCACTCGCCTCTGACTGTTTATTACTTGGTTAAAAGATGCTAATCTAAGGAAATGTACACTGATCCACCTGGTTTTACAGCTGAATGCTTATACTGTGGAAACTCTGGCTAAGACTTAGCCTATGGGGAGGCATCTTATTTGGGACTTGAATGTGTGATGTGCAATTATGTGCATGGGTGCCCTTTAACTGGGAATTTGGTGGTCTGTTAATATCCCCTTTCACTGCCCATGTCTGTGCATATTCCCTTTCATTGTCTGTGTCTGTGCACATCCCCTTTCACTGTCTGTGACTGTGCACATCCCCTTTAACTGTCCATGTCTTTGTACATCCCCTTTAGCTGTCCATGTCTTTGTACATCCCCTTTAACTGTCCATGTCTTTGTACATCCCCTTTAACTATCCATGTCTGTGTATGTCCCCTTTAACTGCCCATGTCTTTGTACATCCCCTTTAACTGTCTATGTCTTTGTACATCCCCTTTAGCTGTCCATGTCTGTGTACGTCCCCTTTAACTGTCCATGTCTTTGTACATCCCCTTTAACTGTCTGTGCCCATGTTGGTCCTCCTTGACCATATAAAACATATTTAAATGTTGGAATGAAAAGCCTGGAGGCTCTGTCTGTCTGGAGCTGAAGAGACTGCACTCATTTGCGCAGTGTTTTGGGGGAGATCTATTTTAGCAAGTTTCATACCTATATTTTCAGCTTTCCTGTCAGAGCGGAGGGGGGAGGCTGACAGGGACAGAAATCATTGCACTTGGTTTAAGACACACCTCCCTGTCCCAGAGCAACTCCTATTGGCCACTCTTGTCAGGTGACCAGACCGAGGCTGTGGGATTTCACCTTCACTTGAACAAGTGGAGCATAAAGGAGAAACTATTGAAATTTTACAATAAATGGGGCCTGTGAGTGGATTGGAAAGGGAGCAGGGGCTTACAGAAACAGTTTAAAACAAACCCCTAGGCCAGCCACCATCTGTAAAGCCCGAGATGAGCTCCTATCGTAACCCAGGGAAACGTCTCGCAGGTTCAAACGGCCAACGCCATTGGCCAGCCTCCTCCCCGCCCACCCACCAGGGCCTATCAGGTTGCGGAGCACCAGCTGGCCCGCAGGCTCACATACCAGCAATAATAGGCTCACCGCCGCGCGCAGTAATTACGAGAAAGTGATACCAGGACCCGAGTGAAATTTGGGGCATTTGGGCTGGCATCGGCGCAGTTAGAGGGCGCACAGCATAGTGGCGGAATGGATCACTGACGCTGGAGGTGCCCAGTGCGTAAGTGGAGGGGAGAGGCGTCGAGAACGCCCACGGGGAAGGGGGGGGGGTTTAAACCAAGCAGAAGCACCACAGTGTTTCTGCATCTCTGTGTGTGATATTCAGGAGGCTCGTCCTACTTATCGACAAGCCTGTGGGGGGGTGCCGTTCCGCTTCGCGACACATCGTTCCTTTCCACGTTCTTGTCTTCCTCTCCCATTCTCCCCGTTGCTCCCTCTCCGCTCTGCCTCCCATCCCTGTCGCCCCCATACTGTGCCGCAGGATCTGATTGGCTTCCTGGTGTCCATAGAGGAAATGTGGGCGTCGCCGCTAATTGGAACGTTAGGAAACAGAAGCCAGAGGAATAACCCCGCTCCCCGTCCGACCTGCGATTGGCTGAAGTGCCTGAAGTTACCGATTCCGAGCCTCACTCACGGCCAATCCACAGACTTCAGCCTTTTCTTTTTTTTTCCTCCCAGGACCAAAGCCACACTGGTGAGGTCAAAGGTCAGAGCAGCCCAAAGATCAAATAGAGAAGGAAGTGGCCTTTTTCAGGAACAGAAATCGCCTATTACTGGACGGTGGTGTTTGCATTTCTGTGTCCCCGTGCTGCTGGGGCACAGAGCGCCCCGGCAGTGTCTCTGAGGCTGCAGTAATGCTGCCCCCCCCCCAGCCTCACGCATCATTTCCTCCTCGCTGCATGCTCACTCGTAGGCGTATGTGCCCCTATATTTGCCTGCGCTGGTGTGCACCCGTTGCCTCATTAACACTGAGCTGTGACTCGCGCCGCCGGATCATTCACTAGCG